ATGTATTTTTTAGTAATTTGTATACATAAAAAGTACTTCTAATAACAACTATCTAAACACTCTCACTTCTCAGAATCACTTTTTCACAAAATCTATTCTTCACAAAATCTATTCTCCCCAAAAACTATTCTCCAAAAGCTATTCTCCAAACCATGATTTGGTTTCATCCAAACACCCCCTAAATGGCATCTAAAAATCTAATACGTATCCTTGTCGCTTTTTATGTAATTTGGAGTTGGAATTACAAGATGAATTAGATGGAGTCTAAAGTTGGAAGAGTTGAAATGGTTTCAAAAAGCTAGAACAAACTGGGTGTCTAAAGGTGATCGAAATAGTAGGTATTACCACCTTAAAAACAAATTTAGAAGGAAAAAGAATAAAGTCCTGGCTCTCAAAAATGAGAAAGGTAACTAGATTTAAGATGAGAATCAACTAAAGAACATGGTGGTAGACTATTTTGAAAACTTGTTTAAAGCAGATAGCCCAAATCAGACAAGGATCTATACATCCACACATTTCCCTATTGTTGAAGGTGTGCTAGATGACTTGAGTAAAGTTCCTTCAGAAGATGAAGTTAAAGCTGCTATCTTCTCAATGGGTGGATACAAGGCCCCAAGCTTTGATGGATTCGCTCCAATTTTCTTCCAAAGTAATTGGGATGTAGTGGGACCTGATGTCTGTAGGTTTGTACAGGAAGTTTTTAAGGGGGGAATATTTGTTGCTGAAGCTAAAAAGACTCTCATTTCCCTAATTCCCAAAAGAGACAGCCCAAAATTTGTGGCCCATTTCAGGCCTATTTCTCTCTGTACAGTTCATTACAAGTGTGTAACAAAAGTACTCACTTAAAGATTGAAAGATGTAATGAGTGATCTAATTTCTCCCCATCAGGCCAGTTTTATCAAAAGGAGATATATCCAAGACAACATCATTATAAGGCAGGAGATAATGCATATTATGAAGAAAAATAAAAGCAAAAAAGGTCTGGTGGCAATGAAGATAGGCCTGGAAAAGGCCAACAATAGGATACGGTGGGATTTTCTGCAACAAGTACGTTATGAGGCAGGTATGGATAGAAATGCTAGGAATTTAATGATGTCCTGCATCACATCTATTTCTTACAATGTGTTGTGGAATGGATCCAAAACTCAATTTTTTAAACCCTAAAGGGGGCTAAAGCAAGGAGATCCTATTTCTTCTCTTCTTCTTATCCTTTGTATGGATAAGCTTTCTCATCTGATCTCTAATGCTGTTAATGAAGGGAAGTGGCAACCTATTAAAGTAGCCAATCATGGGCCAGCTATTTCGCATCTTACGTTTGCAAACTATTTATTATTATTTGGTGTAGCTACAAAAAAGCAGGTAGACTGTATGATGACTTGTCTGGACAGATTCTGTCCTGCTTCAGGAGAGGTAGTTAATAAAGCCAAATCTTCTCTATTCTTCTCTATGAAAGTACAAGCAAGTATAAAGGGGAGAATTAAAAGAACAACACAAATGAAGATCTCACATGAAATAGGTAGATATTTGGGATTTCCACTTTCAAACTGCAGAAAACCAGTAGAGATGTTCTAGTATATTGTGGAAAATGTCAGATCAAAACTTCCTGCTTGGAAGGCCAATAGCTCATACCTAGCTGGAAGGATAACTTTAACCAAACCTGTTCTAAGTTCAATTCCTTTATATTCTATGCATGTGGCTATGCTACCAAAGAAGATTTGTGCAGAAATAGAAGAACTCCAAAGGGATTTCATCTAGGGAAATAACCACAGCTCTCATGCCTATCATCCAATTGGTTTACATCAAATTACACGTCCTAAATCCTGTAGTGGTCTAGGCATCAAAAAGCTAACTGCTATGAATAAGGCACGTGGAACAAAGTTAGCTTGGAATCTAGTAATGGGAGAAAAAGGATTGTGGGTGGATATTTTATGCCATAAATACATGATGCAGGAAACTGAAAGCCTTCTCACGGCCATCCTAGGTGATTCTAAAATATGGCACTTTATTTGCTAACAAAAAGAAGTGGTAGATAGAGGAGCTAGGTGGCAAATTCACAATAGACAAGTGGTCAATTTTTTTAATGATAATTGGCTGTTTCCTGATAAAAAGATCAAAGAAATGTGCAAAAGACCTCTTTCAGAGGAGGAAAATGCAAGTGCAGTGTGCGACTGGACTTTATATGGGGCATGGGACTTCCAGAAACTGGACACCATAGTAAAGGAAGAAGTTATACAGACACTGGTCAGTGTTTTACCTCCCATGGAAGATGCAAGGAATGATGTCATGTGCTGGAAAACAACGAATGACAAAATGTTTTCCTTAAAAGGTGCTTATTTTCTCATCAAAGGAAATGACCAGACTCTTTTCCACCCCACCTACAAGCTAATATGGAAATGGAACGGGGCAGAGAGAATCAAAGTATTTCTTTAGAGGGCTTTTAATGATAGGCTTCCCACAAAACGATGGCGTAGTAGGTGGTCTCAAATATCTGCAAACTGTGATTATTGCAAAGATGAGATAGAAGACATTTTGCATGTTTCTAAGGGACTACTCTTATGCGAAGAATTTCTGGCTTCAAATTCTCAACCCTAGGTTCTACGCTGATTTTTTTAATGCTTCTATATAGGAATGGTTTACAAACAATTTGAAACACAATCGGGGAATAATTATGATATTCAATGGGATCTTCTATGGGGCGTATCAGTGTGGAAACTCTGGCTCTGGCATAATAAATCAATCTTCGACCCCGAATCTGCCGAACCTAGTTTATTATATTTTAAAGTGCTGGAAGTACTATGCCTCTGATTCTTTTCAAAGCATGATAACTTCCAATAGCAATCGCCATCACAACATTAAGTGGAGCCCACCTCCCTATGACTGGGTGAAGATAAATGTTGATGGTGCTGTGATTAAATCTTCAACTAAAGCTGGATGTGGAGGCCTAATCAGAGATGCATCAGGATCCTGGATTGCTGGGTTCTGCAATACAATAGGTAATTGTAGTGCAATGGAGGCAGAAGAATGGGCTATTTTCAAAGGTTTATTGTTGGCCTGGGAATTTGGTTTTAAGCGAGTTATTCTAGAATCAGATGCTAAAAATCTAATCGAGCTCCTGCTCCAGAAGCAACATATTGGGAATGGAAGTCTGGTTACCATCAGAATAGGAGCTTTAATGTCTTACAACTGGGAGGTTGACTGAAATATGTCCCACGCGATAGCAATAGCGTATCCGATACACTAGCTAAGATGGGTCTTTCTAACTCATCTCTCTTTGATACTTGCCCGAGGAATCTAAAATCTCTGGTAGACAATGACTGTAATAGCTCGGATTCAGTAATAATATAACTGGGCTTTGAGCCCATCTTCAATACCAAAAAAACCAAAAGAATGGGCAGTTTTCAAAGGCCTTACTTTGGCCTGGGATGAGTTTTAGGAAAATTATTCTTGAATCTAACTCTAAGAAGCTAATTGACATGATATCAACTGATTTTACTGAATTTACTTGTAGCTTGGTCCTCATTCATATAATAAATCTAATTAAGGTTAAATGAGAAATGCAATTGAAGCATGTGTCTAGAGATCAAAATGTTGTTGCAATGCTTTAGCAAAAGAAGGAAGAACTACTACTACTATTCTCAATGAGCGTCCACCTCATCTTCAGACCTTGATTGATAAAGATATGTTGGGATTTAATCCCCCTCTTATTTAATTTTTAGTTTAGGCCTTGGCCTTCTTTTGTAAGAAAAAAATTCATGGTATTGAATTTTTGGGGTGGTTATGTCACCAATTAGGAAAATACGCTTAATTCACCATTTAAGAAAAGATTAATTATATGATTAGATTTATTTCATTCTATTTAACATTCAGAAATTTTTCATTTATTTAGAATGATCATTTTTTGATTTATTTGTATTAGAATTTACAAGGACTTGGTTATTTGAAATAAATAATTACGCTGAGGATAATTTCCCTTCTTTTTTTTTCTTCTTTTTTTTGCCAATATGTCCGAGGGATGACATAGTTTAATCAAAGTTAGGCTTAGAATATTCCCTTAAAAAAAAAAAGAGTTAGGCTTAGAAATAAATACAGTATTCTTCTTTATGTGATAGTCCTTTTTATGATAAATTAAAAAAAGACAAAAGAACAGTTTGGTTATTTGGGCTTCTATATATCGTATTAAATTAGGGAATTAAGTCATAATCTTTAATGGCCTGAGAAAAGTACATTATTCTACACCCTAGACCAAGAAGATGCCCCCCTAACAAAATCACTTTAAAAAGGCTCTTGTATGCTTTAGACTGTTCTCTAGCACACTTGTCTTGGACAACATAAAACCATTTAAAATAAGTTAATCCAAACACCCCTCAGACCCACATAATACATAAGATGAGACAGTGAACCACTCCTTCCGGTGAAAGAGAATGATAAAGCTAGCACTCAATCGGTAATGATTTGCTTCTACAAACCTTTGGTGAGTCCTTGAATTAATCAATCTAAATTTTGATGCATGAGACAATGCTAATACCAGTAGTAGCCAAGTCAAGAAACCATTTGGTCAAAAAAAAGAAAAAAATGTAAGCAACCACCTAAGGCATATGTTTGTGCTCAATCTGAAGATTAAGTGCAACATATGAGAAATAGACTCCAAATTGTGGTCTAGTCCAGTGCTCATGACTCCAGCCATGATGGGTCAACTCATTCAGGGCACCAGAGAGGAAAACAGTGAAAATAGCAGCATTGGGAGCATGAATAATCACTTATGCTCATGTGTATGGTAAAAGGACCCAGATATCCATAAGTGATTATATATAATCGTTTTATGAATTAATGCTACAGTATGTTATTTAGGGGGGGGGGGGGGAGGATGGCCAACGACATAAATGCGCTATTTGTCTACAGATGGTGCTTCCCTAGTAGTTGGCTGGAAAAGCACAAAACGGACTAGATTGATCATCAACAATATAGTCAGTCCTTCGACTACCAAAAGCAAAACTGACAAATTAATTCATAAATCTCTCAACAGAAGGATTTAAGATCACCTACAATATCAAGCTTCATTCAGTTAGCAAAGGTTGGAGGACTACCATTCTTTTTTCTACATTAAGTAATAAAAGACTGAGGGAGAAAGGAAAAAAGAGAACATGCAAAAAGAGGCTAACCAAGACATGAGATATCTAAGCAATTAAAATCTAGATTTTGATTGGCGACTAGGAGTATAGCATCATCCAATGAAGGGGAGAGGGTGGAGAAGAAGATAGTACATAAATCCCAAATACTGTCCAATCACTGAACTGAGCTCAATGAAACACTAGCACCAATACAAGTCAAAAGAGCCTACTTCTTAGTGGGCTTCTTCTTTAAATTTGCATTCACAGATTGCTGAGGCTTGGGATGCTTTTCAACCTCACTCGGATCCAACCATTTAAGAGGATGGCGGTTAAAAAAGGGCCAATTAGGTACAGTCACCAATGTGGTGAGAACCACACCACCAGCATATATGAATATCATCATTTGGAAAGAAGCCATCATATATCCAGTAGCAAAAGCAATCACAGCAAATGCCAGCAGCATCATCTGCATCAGCTGCTCTGCTAGCTTCTGCCCCTGCCAATCCATCTACGAACCAAGAAAATGAAGGAAAACCATAGAGCAACTTTATAATCCATAATAACATTACCATACCCAAGACCACGAGCTGTGCGCTATGCTAATTTTTGTTATACTGTAAGGACAAAATCTTCAGAACAGGGAATCAGAAATATCCCAAAATTATAATGAAAGCCGAGTATCCAATGGATTAATATCACTATCTCAGAGTAACAAGGCATGTCCTCCAAATATAATTTGCTATTCCATTTCAGAATTGCCAAGCAAAACACGAGGGCAATATGTCACAGATAGATATGGGAATGCCATTTCAAGTAAAATTTACTCTACTAAACCCTAATTATCTTAATAGAGAAAGAGTGCCAAATAAGGACAAAGAATGTAATAATAGAGATAATGTCCAAATGAAACTCAATCATGTATTCAAAGGCAGACCTATGTTACATTCAGCGGGGGCATGTGCCCCACTGAAATCTTTGAAATATGCACAGTTGATATGATATCCTTACAACTTTTGTTCCAGATACTTTTAACTAAGATGCCTTGGTAAGCCAATTGATTCACAACTCCTCCAAGCTACTGAAGAATGAAAATGATAACACTCATGCAATTTATGATCTACCAATTTCATCTTGCAATTTATGGTCATGAAATGTGTTCCCTTGAGTGATTAAGGCGCACAGTTTATTTTTATGTCAATAGCTTCTAAATTCACAGACTAATGAGCAGCTAAGCAACACTGAATGATTTAAATTCAACCTTCCAAATTGCCAGACACAAATCGAGCCAAGTCATTCAGCAGATCATGCATAAAAAATACTTTGAGAATTTTATAAATTGATGATAATGATAATATGAGAAGTTAATAAACAGAATGCCAATACACAGCACGATACGCAATCCAAAGCATGCAAGTCGCCAGTAATCAAAATGAAGAGGATAACAGCCAATAACACAACATTCAGTAAAAAACTAGTAATCAAAGTTAAAAAAGAAAAAAAAAACAAATAAACTCAATACGTAAATATCCCCAGATATAAAAGCGTCAATATTCGAATGATTACACAGACAGATTAAAAGGCGAAGTAAGAATGAAAAATTTAAAACAAAGTAAGAAAGGGTACGACGGCGTCCAAAACAGGGTTGAAATCTACGTGGGGAACAAATTCACATCTAGATTCAAAGGCAGATTGAACAAATCAATCACACAGAAGACAAAGCCCAAGGATCCGAACCTTCAATACTTGCCGGAGAACAACCACACAAGGCTGACAATGGGGGACGGCCTCCAACGGCGAGCTCGACCTAGTGCAGAATGCTCGTTCGTCTAAGAAGAAAAATGGATCTGCTACCGACCGAGAATATGTTTCGTCGGGTTTAAAACTACTTTTAGAGAAAATTATGAATAAGGACCAATTATGCCACTTATTTACAGATATAATTTCACAAAGTTATTAAATTTTAATCTGATGTCAACCCACATTGACCATTGACGGTCAGCCGTTGAACAATGGACGGCCTGTCAACTGTCAAGAGAATAAATATTTTTCCGCTTAATTTAAAGAATAATTATTCTTATGAATTTTAATATTAGTTATTAATATTATCTCTTAATATTTTGAATTATTTTTTAATGAAAGTCAAAATGATATTAGAAGAGGATAAGCTTAATCTCTTCTTGATATCCACATGCATAATTAGTAATGATGAAATGAAAAAAGGAGGAGCTAAGGAAGAGAAAATATTAGAAAAGTTTGATAACATCATTCTTAAACCTTTTTTTTCTTAGCGACAATCGGGTGAAACCTAGAATTATAAGTTAACTAATGTAGGAAAATAAACTCTACACAATTTTCCTTTCAAATGCTATCAATTTTAGTGGGGGGGGGGGTGTTATCCATGTTCTTCATTCTAGCAAGATAATGAGCACATTTGTTCGTCTCTTGATAAACATGTTGTATTTTAATATGCCATTCCCTTCTTAGTAGCGCTCTGATTTTTCTGGGCAATAAGAAGCACCCTTGTATTTCTTGCTGCTCTATCAACTCTATTACAATTACCACAACATCACATTCAATCAGCACTTTCCAAAATTTCATTTCCCAGCACATCTCAATTCCTTCTAATATTCCCCGTGCTTAAGCTATTTCACTATTGACGTCCTTAATCTTTTGGTAAAGCCTGCTAGCCACTCCCCATAAGCTCCATGAATCACTCCTCGACAACCTGCACCTCCTAATTCTATTAAGATCCCATCTATATTTAATTTACACCACCCTTGAGGTAGTGGTTTCTAGCTGATATATTTCACCATTAGTTTAGTTTGATGTCCTTTCTCTGCATTCCATCTTTTGTGGTAGTTCTGCACATGTTGTTTAATCATTCTTGCAGCTAATCTTGGTCTTTAAAACTCAGCATCATGCATTGATCGATTCCTTGACTTCTATAAGAACCAGCACGTAGTTACAAACACCTCTAGCCAGCGATATTGTTCCTTTCATATTTCACCTTTCTTCATAATGTTCCTAAACCAATTCATTACGTTTTGTCTGAAGAACTTCCCTCTTTTGTTATGGGGTACCAATTGTTGTCATGCTTGTTTTGCTAGGGGACAATCTTTTAGTACATGCACGACGTCCTCTGCCCCTAATTGACAAGCTACACACAAACTTGAGCTATTATCCCATTTGCTTGAAATTGAGCATGTGGGAATACACACTAACATAGCTCTCCATACAAATATCCTAATTGGCTCTGGTACTTTTAATCTCAAACTACTTCTAATTCTCATCCCTTTGTATAGCTTCTGCTTTCATGGATTCCTTTGTAAGCACTGGCCATGGAGAACATGCCTTTATTCGTCAGTTCCCAAAACAACTTGTTCTCCTCTTGATCTCTAGTTGGAATAAAAGCTTGTAGGATTTCCTCCACGAGTTCTCTTGGCAAAAGATTTTCTATTGATTGTAAATCCCATCTTCCCCTTTCATTGACCAATTTAGAAACACTCAGCTAAGGGTTAGTAATGTACTCTTCGAGTACCATATCACTTAGTGTGTTGTCACTGTTGAACCATTTATCAAACCAAACATTTGTGCTACGTCCATTCATTATTTCTTTCCTTGTACTCATTATGAACTTATCCTATAAGTGAACCATTTTCTTCCAAAGCCTTCAATCTCCTAGTTTTGTAACTAGAAGTCCACCTCTCTCTTAACCTTGGCCATATTTGTCACAAAAGAGTTAGGCCCATAGATCAAAAGGTGCCTTATGCAATTTCCAAATGAGTTTTAAGATAAAAGCATCATTAGAATGCTTTAATCACCTTATTCGTACCCCTCCTTTATCTCTTGGTTCACAGAGCAATTCCCACAATACTGTATGCCACTTTCTCCTCCCCTGGCTCTTCCCATATAAATCTTTGCTGATATTTTTTCCATCTGATCAATGAGAACTTGAGAAATCCTGTCATGTTGTGTAGGGAAAGTAGCCACTGAACTTGTCATAGATTTAACTAGCGTGATTCTTTCAACTAGGGATAAACTATCAACTTTCCACCTAACTAATCTTTGCCTTACTATTTCAACAATCTCTACATATTTATCTCTTCTTTTCTTCGGGAAGGAGACGTTAGTGCCAATATATCTAGCAAGATCATCAACTTGCTTGAAGGAGCTTCGTCTACGAATTTCTCTTCTTATGTTCCCAGGGACATTTAGAGAAAAGAATATTTATGATTTCTCTTGACTAATTCTATGCCCTGACATATCTCTAAAATCCTATAAACAATCATTGATAGCCTCTATCTGTGAGATTTTGGCTTCTACAAAAAGAATCAAATCATTAGCAAACATCATGTGAGTTATAAACGAACCTCTCCTACCTACTCTCGTGCCTCTCCATTTTTCCATTTCAAGAATAAAGAGAAAAGGGAAAATAGGGTTGCATTGACAAAGCCCTCTCAAAGGCTTAAATGAGTCAAGCGTTTTGCCATGCTAGAAAATTTTTGTTTTGGTAGAATTAACACAGCTCATGATTCTTTCAATCATCTTACTCGAACACCCAATCTCATTAAGAACTCTCTACATATAATGCCAGCTTATTCTATCATAAGCTTTTTCCAAATCAATCTTCATTTCCATAATCCCTCTTTTCCTCTTCCTTCTTATCATGTGAATTAGCTCATTTACAATGATAATGTTGTCATGGATATATCTATTGGGAACAAAACTAGCTTGAAAAGGGAGACAATTTTAGCCATGATACTTTTCAGGATTTTAACTATAACCTTTGAGAGGCATTTATAGACTACATTACATAAGGAGATGGGCCTCATATGGTTTACATTTTCAAGGCTATTAACTTTGAGGATAAGAGTAAAGAGTGTCTAATTTACCTTATATATGGACTCCATGTACTCCCATATTCTTTTGACAACATTTATGATACTTCTGCCTACTATGTCCCATTTACGATGAAAGAAAATTGTAGGAAGCTTGTCTTCTCCTGAGACTTTGGAAGCTCCAATTGACATCATGACTTCTTTGATTTTGTTTGCTATTATTTCTCTATTAATCACATTCCACTCCTCTACTTCTAAGCTTGACCAGTTATGGTGTGTTGAAGACCATGTTCTTTCAAGTTCATCCTTGGTGTATAGTTTCATGAAGAACCTCTACACAAGCACTCCAACTTGCTCTTTTCTCCTTGCCCATTCATTGTCCTTATTCCTTAAGGTTTGTATCTTATTCCTTCTTCTTTAAATCTTTGTTTTTATGTAATAGTAAGAGGTATTTCTATGCCCCTCATTCATCTATTTGGTTCTTGATTTTTGAAACCATAAAATTTCTTCTTGGTGTACGACTTCTTGTAGTTCCCTCTCTGATTTCATGAGCCTCTAGTTATACTACTCTTGGAGTCTTTCTAAATACCATCTATTCTTTTGGTTAGAGATTTCTTTCTCTTTTAATATGTTTGAAGGAATGGATATTCCATTCAAAAAGGGTAGTTTCTAGATCCACTAATTCCTATCTTATTGTTTTTTGTCCTAACCAAGTATCCTCAATCACCTTCTTGAATTCTTTATGAGTCATCCAAGTCCCTTCAAATCCAAATGGTCTTGCTTCACGTGCTCCTCTACCAACCTCAATATAGATAAAGATTGGATCGTGATCAGGTTGAATTTTGGGACCTTCTTGCACAAATGCGCCATCAAGCTTGCTCTACCATTTGGTATTACAAAGGGCCTTATCAAGTTGCTTATATAATTTGCTAGTAGATTACACTATAGGTCCCCTCCATGTGAAGCTTGGACCTTCAGAGCCTAGATCAACAAATCTATAGTATTATCCCAAAACCTCTAGTACTTCTTTATGTTTACCCCTATGCCTCCCTTTTGTTCATTTCTATCCTCAATGTCGTTGAAATCACTAGCCATCCACAACTGGTTTATCTGCTAAGATAGTTGCCAAAGTATTTCTCATAGGTCCTTTCTTTCTTGTTCTCTTAGGCTTGCATAGATTGTAGACAACAATCAGTTACCTCTGCCCATTCCTTTAACTTCGCAATGTAGAAATTGATAGTGAGCTTGCAACAATCTGTTGTGAATCTCTTCCTCATCCCAAAGGATTCAAATACCACTAGGCATACATCTTGCTTCCACTAAAACCTATTTTTTTTAAACCCATTCTTTTTATGGCTTTCTATGTAGAACTTGAACTACATCTTGTCTCTACTAAGACAACAATCTTTAGACTATATATGCTTTTAAACTCTTTAATGGCTTGGTCGAAACCTTTTTCGGCTGCACTCTTGCATTCTAGACCATGATCATTAAAACTAACACAAAGTGAAAGGTAAAACTACACTAGCACTAGTGAATTATGGCCTTTGCCAACACATTTCCTCCTTGTTCCATAATTCTATCATTTAACTCGATTCTTAGACATTCATCACTCTCTTCCAGTAACTATTCAACATGTAAAAGTCTCATTAACATTGCTAGGTTGTTGGGATCTAGTGGTTCAATGTCATCCATATCAATGGTTTTGTTTACCTAATCTAGCAAACTTTTGAGGAAATGATCAACAATGGTTTCCCCTACAATTATATCCTGCTTCTTCAATTTTGCCTCATCTACTTCTCTATTAAAGTTAGAACTTTCTTTCGCTTTTCTTTCCATTTTTTTTTTTGTCAATTCTTTGGCCCAACTCCATCACTTCTTTTTTCCCGCTACTTGTTTTCCCCTCAAGACTCATTTGTTAATCCATATCCACATTCTAATTTTGTCCAGCCTAGTTTGCAAAACTGTCTTTTGGGCCAACTATCTTTATCTCCATTTTAGTTTTTGTCCAACAGTTC